TTTTGCTTTATTTTTCTAATCTGCAACTTTAAGTGCACTGTGATAGTGAGATATTTTTACGTTAGAAATTCTTTTTTTGCTTTTTAACAAGGATTAAGCTTAGTACACAGTGTAAAACATATTTTTTTTCTGCACTTTTTTTTTTGTAGCTTCATAAAACTTATGTTTTAATTTTCATTTTTGATAAGCGACAGTTTGCATTGTTTTCTGTTGTCGTCTTAATATTTTATCATCATCTTTATTCTCTGTTCTTATTGTTTAACTGCGGTAAAGCTTCAAGATTAAAAAGTTAATAATATGGTTGCTTCATTAGACCTTTAAAAAAGTCTACCAAATTGTGGAGAATTTTTTCAACATTTTGAAATTTGTACATAACAACTTGGATAAAACCACCATTATCTGCTTTTTTTTTTTCCTAAACTTAATTCATAGAGAAACTGGTATTTGGAACAAAAGTATTTTTGCAGAAAAAAAAGATGGAAAACAGTAAAAAAAAAGTTGTGTTTTGTCGATAAATTTTACCTGATCTTTCTGCTTTGAATTGACATCAGCACCGTTTTCCGTCAAATACCTAACAATTTCTAGGTGTCCCTTCCATGCAGCATAATGCATTGGGGTAAGCTAAATAAAGATGATTAAACTATTTTTGTTTTCAATTCCTGTTAAATTTGTTTAATGATCATAAATTTTTGCTACATTTGTTGACTCAGCTGTAACGTCGAATACGTTGTAACCGTGATGTGTTTCGCTGATAGCAAGCTTTTTTCTTCAGAACTTAAAACTATTTATTTCTATTGCACAGTATGAACTGTATACATATATACTTTTATCTATTTTGATAATTTTTCTCTTCGCTTAAACTTTTCACTCGTATCACACTATTCCATCATCTCTTGCTCTCACAGTGACTTTTTCTCTGTTTTTGATTCGTGTGTTGTAGACTTGATACTGGTGAACTTCTCGCAAACTTACCTTATCGGTATTGAAAAAAATCTATTATACTGAGGAAATACAACTAAAATTTAAACTTCTAAAAGACGAAGCTGAATAAGGCGGTTTTTTATTTTGTCTTCTGTATCAGAGTTTCAGAAAATTGCGCTTGAACTTTTATGAAAGCAGTGAAAACAATAGCGCACACTTCACTGTTCTCATGGATAAACTTTATCTCACATCTTTGCTCTATATTGACATCGGCGCCATTCTGCACCCAAATCTTACCATTTCCAACAGCCCATTGCAAGATGCGTAGTGCAACGGGGTAAGCTAAACAAATAAAAACGTCACACTTAGTAAAAGCAAACTTTTTTCCTGCTTTGAACCGTCTGAAGAACAAAGTGAAGAAGGAGGTAAAAAATTTATCGCTTTTTATCACTGGACTTTACCTTATCTTTTTCCCTGTCGTTAACATCAGCACCATTTTGAATCAAAAATTTCACCACATCGAGGTGGTCATTCCAAGCTGCGTAATGCAGCGGACTGAGCTGAAAAAATACCAAAGATCAGACTGATTTCAACTCTCGACTTTGTTTAGATGTACTTAAAATTAGCAGATTTGTTGCACTCTTAAGAAGCCTTTTAAAAGGTAATGATTAATTTATTCAACTGTTTACCTTACTATGATACAGACAGTAATGGTTTAGCCGATAATAAAATTTTTTTGTTTCAAAGATGTAACTGTTTACTGTTGGCTATTCTACGTGTATTTTTTCCTTTTATCCTAAAAAGTTGCTTATACTTTTTTCTGTTATTGCTGTCTCTAAGCTTTTGTAATTTTGTTGCGCTTCTGCAGCGAATTTAATTGTTCTTTATTGTGTCTGTAAGGAAGTGATTTTTTAATAGTTTTTCTGGCTTCTCAGTTTATTTTATTTTATTTTTTATTTTTTATTTTTTTGCTGGTTCTAGGGCCCGTAGAGTTAGAGAGTTACACTGGCAACGTTACATCTTACTCTGACCCACAAATTTTGGATAATTTGCTATAAAATATTCTTTTTGAACGGACCAGAATTATAGAATAATTTAAGCTTTTATTTTCTCTTTTTTGGTTCAGAGAAATGCTTGATACTCCAAAAAAAATTACACTTCCTTCCTGAACTTTTTTTCCGTCGGCTGTTTTTCTGGTTTTCTTCCCTGTATTTTTTGTTTGACCGACTAGAAACATTTCTTAATCCTCTCTTAAAATCTTTTTTTTTAACCCCCTTGAATTTCTGCAACGCTGTGCGTATCGAAAAGAGGAAGAACAGTGTTTTTAGCTAAGTATTGTTGCCAGAGGTAGCTTACAGAGTATTAGTTCTTCTGCCACAATCCTACGCCTAAATTATACGGCCGACTAACGCATTAGATAAAGGAAGAGAATCAGCTGTTATTCCCGTAAAAACTTAGCATATGGTCTTTCATAATGTTAGCTGCGGAGTGGTTTTGGTTCCTACCAGTTCATTTGAATTGGGCTTAAGAATGTCCCGCGGCAAACCTCTCAGTTTGGATAGGTCGGCATATTATTTTTAGTAACTTCAATTTTAAAGGAATTTTTTGGAGCAAAAATATTGTAGATTACTCTTTTTGCTTTCATGTTTCAAAGGATTATAGTTGATCGGAGTTAAATATTTCGCCAAAATCTCATAATTTTTCTGATCAAGTCATTCTCATTGTCTCACCAAAAATCTTCCATTTACTCTCCGTCTTTGGGTACGTTTTGCTAATCTATTTGATATTTTGTTTTACGTTACTTCCTAATGAGGAACAGTTTTTCAGTGAAATTACACTGAATATAATACTGATGTTCAAAAGTAATAGCGATTGGTTTTGTCACTTGTGTCACAGTGAGTATCTTATGAACAAAACTATTGGTTTTTGTTAATTCTTAACGTGAGACGTGAATTGCTGCTTAGTCTTTCAATGACGTACTCTATCCTTGTTCTTTGCTGTAACGCTGCTTCCACGACGGACCAAGTCTTTTACGACATGAAGTTGCCCGTTTCTAGATGCCTCGTGTAAAGTCGCACGCCTTTGCTAAATAAATTACAGATAACTGTAAATTTGCTTTTTCTTTCAAAATTTGACAGCTTTTTGTTTTAATTCTCAGATGCATCTAAAAAATTTGATTTTTTCAGTTGTTTTAACTCATTTCGTGAGCAGTCTTTGTTTAAGGCTACTACTTAAGTTGCACAAGCACATTGCGAAGAAAAAAAACTTGTTTAATAGAAAGTATTTTCTATTACAAAAGAACAAGGCTGCCCCAGCAAAAGCATCTACTTGCACTATATAAATAAATAGTCAAGCTTTCATTTAATAAATGGGTAAGATGTGCTGGGATAGAATAGGATATGCAAAGAATGAATAAAATAAAAGCAATAATATAGATTCCAATAATCCTTCTCAGATGCTTTTTTCTACCAAAAAGTCTTTAAAAAAATTTTTTTTTGGCCCAGACAATTATCTGCTTCAAAAAGAGTAGCTGTTTCGCAGAAGAAAACTTTTTTACAGAGAAAGTTTTGTTTTGTACAGTTTGTCTGATAGGTTGTCTTCTAATACGGAGTATTCCTTGATTTTAGAATTAGCTCGTAAACTTCATAATACCTTTTTTTACACTGTTCTTCTCTCAATTCCTGTAAATTTCATTGTTTCCATTCCGTTAGTTCAAACCTCTGTGAAGTAAATATGGAGAGAGAACTGACGCTAATGGAAGCAGAAAATGTTAGTCGCAAAATGAATGTGAAAAAAGGGCGGCACTTTATCAATGTAAGAAACCCCAAAAGAACCACTGCTTTTGATGCTGTTATCTTTTTCGATCACTGTATATTAAATTCCATCTTATTGTGCGATAATATTTTTAAGTGATATTTTTTATAATTGAATCCTGTAAGATAAATATGAAAGTAAAAACTTAGTGTTATAACTCTTGCTATTTAAATCTACTTTCACATACGGCGGACTGCTTCATTTTAAACCCTACTGCTTTTCTCAATATTCTGGATTTCTCCTAAACCTCATTTCGTCCCTTTTTCAACGCAAAAATCTGTTGATTGAGTAGAAGAGGAAGATAACACTGTCTTTACCTACAGTTTTTCTGGTTAAATTATCTATAAAAAGAAGCGAAAACAATCTTGTTAAAATTACAGCGAAGAACTCGAGCCCAAGCATAATTTCCCAGGGTTCCATGGCCTGTAACCTAAAAAAATATTTCCGGTACTCTCGGCAACTCGCTGAAGAACTGCCAACGTGCTATCGTTAAGCCTAAAAAAAATCGTGCTTTTTAGAGTGGGTGTTTTTGGAGTAAAGTAGGAAAAAAACAACACAAAGATGATCACTTAATTAACCAAAAAAGTTCTTTCTGAGCATTATTGTAAAATATATCAGTAGTACCAAGGAATGCAGAGGAATATTGCTCCACTGTTCTCTTATTTCAGCTATCTATTGTCCTTTTTAAATTGTGGAGTCAAATTTTTTGTAGCAAATTGTAATCACTGAAAAATTTTGAAACATCATTTCAAAAAGAAACTTTAACCGTCTAGCAGAGTAAATCTAAAACCTTTAAAAGCTATCTGTGATTAATATACAATCAAATCAATTCTACGGTTGTGATCAATGAGTTGTATTGGTCTGCTGAATTGTAATGAGAGAAGGTGCACATTGAAAGACCCCTCCGATGAAGAATCAATCTCAGTGACGTTGAATTTACAGAGACGGAAATCGATCGTTGAATATTAGCAAATAATTTACCACAGCGGTTCCAAAAAGACAGCTTTGACGCTCTACTCGGTCAAATACTGGTTAAATATTCTTTCCACCTGTTGCAATCAGCGTTACCTTTTTCAGCAGTCCTTTTTGTAGTTTTTTTTTGTAGTTGCACTGTGACTGATGCTCATTTACTTCTTAACTGCTTCAAACTGTAAAAGCTTAGTGCTATAAAAAACCAGAAATCAGACTCTCTGTGAAAAGGTTATTTGGAAAAATTTAGGTACGTTTTTTGAAAATTAGCTAATTACGCAATACTTGATCGCTTCCACCGTTCAAAGCTGCTTTTCACAGGAATTATAGACGCAGATTAAGTTCGGAGAAGAATTGGGGAAAAGCGATCAAAACTACCCCTGAATTTCAATGTTTTCTTAAAAAGCTAGTCGTCATGACAATCATTAATTTTGCTTCCTAAATGCACTGCGAGAAAGCAGTCTAGCAACTTTTCAATCTGTAGGCGTTACCAATAACATGGCAATTATGTCACTGGCAGCAAAAAAAAAAAAAGCAAGAATTTTTTTTGGTGCCAAAATCCTTTGAAAAAACTAAGTTGCACAAAATCAATTTTTTTGTCCATCACAACTGCTGAGAGTAAGTTAGACAGGCGAAAAAGAAAAGTAAAAAACACGATGAGCATTACAAAGACTTTGTACGGTGACGATTCATAGTGCAATTAGCGGTCATATTCATATTACCAAGCTGCAGACCGACTTAAGTGCAGTGCACAAGTGCGGTCTAATGAACAGACCTAAAACATGTATTTTAAGTGATGATAAAATGTCTCCGTGACCGAAATTTTGTGAATTGTGCAACCCTTTCAAAGACTTTGTAGGAGCCTTGAGCATACCAGCGAATAGTCCATTTAAATTATTAACTTGTGCTAATGATGTCTGAATAGTAGTAAAACGTTCTTTAAAATGGCTGAAGATGAGGGCGATTTTTCAAAGGTAGCTGCTTTAATACAAATGTACATTTATGCTACATTTTTTCCTTCTTGGCTGCTTCAACTTTAACTGTGTCATACGTCTTCAACCACGAAACTCTACTAAAAGTTGAAAATTCGCTATTTCCTGGGCGTAACTTAGCTGTTATTAACTGACTTCGACACCTCCTAAAAAAACACAAAGAACATACTAATAGTATTCAAATTCCCTTAAACTTTCTCAGGACTTTTGCCCTGCTGCGAATAAACTTCCTCTGACTCTCTCTACCTGCACAAAATCATGACAAAAAAAGTACAAAATGTTGTTCCAAAAACCCCGGTTATAAATTTAACAAAACAAAACGGGAATTAAAATTATTCTGCAGGTCAAAGTGAATGTTGTAAGAATGTGTTCCACCATTTTGAGAAACCCAATGGAAGTAATTAGGACAGTGTTTGATTAGATGGAGAGCAATCGGGCAACAATAGTTCTGTATGTCAAGTTCCTCAGAGAAAACTTGTTCTTATCAATAAAAAATATCTAATGACATTTCATTTGAAAAAAACTTAAAATACAACATATGGCAGGCACAAACCCTCCAATTTAGTGCCGAACTAATAAAGTGAAATGCTTTACCTTCCTGTTGAAACGTTTGAAAAATTCAAAAATGTTCAGTTTTCTTTCACTTTCGTATATACAACTGTAGTTTCAATGTAGCAATTAATATAACTTTTCAAGTACCTGAGTTATTATCAACACTTTTTAGCAATCAATTTTAAGTTCTATGACACCAATAAAGAATATCTATAACTGTTTCTTTATTTATTCTTCGAAAGAGCACTTCCTGGCACGAAATAAGACAAAAACAAAACGAAGTGCTTATTAAAACATAAGATAAAAAAAACAACTCCTAGAATGAGTCTAAAGTACAACAGAAGAAACCAAAGAAATCATTCTAAGAGCTGATAAATCAAAAACTGTCGGAGAACGCATTAACATCACTGCGCTTATCAGACAGTGGATAGTATCAGTGCGAGGTAATGAATTCCAAACATTGGCAATGCTATACGGCAAATCATTTCACGAATTAACCTTATACTAATAAACCCGTATTTGTGAACTGCAGTTCATTGTACTGTAGTAACTAATATCAAAATAATATCAAACTTTAACAAAGTTAATAATCGTTGTATTCGTCAAAAACTTCAACTCTGACTCTGATATCATTCGTATCAACTTGCTGAACTTGGCTTACAATAGCAGTCTAGATACCATCTGCAGCCCTATATTGCAAGGAACGTTTAGAGCAGTACTTACACCGATGTCGGTTCCAACTGTTCTCGTAATTTTCCCCCCTATACCCGGCTTTTTTCCATTCGTCACCCTCAAAATGTGCACATTTCAGAACCTTCAAAATCAAGAAAATAACCAGTTGAAAGACAAAGCAGCCTTCCACTGCTGCTTCATCGAGATAATGAAGTCAAAATATACTGATCGGGATGACTGCTAATCAGCGAAAACGTGCGTGTGTAAACATCAACATATTTCGGATAATATGTCAAATCGACACTCATGAATTAAAAGAATAATAAGCAGACCTTTGAAAGCAGTTATAGAAGAGGGAAGTAAACCACTTGAAAATAAGACCACTTTCAAAAAAACGACTACTGAGTGTTCGCAAAGCAAGAATATTAAAAACAAATTTCTTCAGCGGCTGATTATTATGAGTTCGTGGGGCAACTGGAAAACTCATCGAAGCTTAAGGAGGTGCTGTAAAAATAGCTAAATATCATAATCTAGAGAAGGTGCACAAGTTTTAATTATCAGCCTGGTACACGAGAATAAAAAAAAATGACATACTATTTACATCTAATAGCAGTACAAGATACCTGATTGAGCCAGATATCGTATAAAGTCGGGACGTCTATGATCAATCGATTTGCGCTACGGTTTTGATAACACTGCCGATAGCACCGATGAGTACAACTTCTGACCAAGTAACACTGTCGCCTAACCCTGCTCCGAAAGAGATAAAATTGCATAAATTAGCTTAGCCCGGCGGCAAAAGTCGACGACTTAGAGTTTGAGAGTGTCATTCATTGCGGTGGCGAAAGGTTTCAAAAATCAGCTTTTCTAGTTCTTAAATCACGTCAGAAAAGTAGCTGATTTTCTTCAAATACCTGGAAATTTCCTTTCTGATTACTTAATTTCTTTTCTGGTTGTTCTGTTCTACAAGTGACTGCCGCGTTTTAAATCCTAGTCGTTATCGAGAATGTTCTCGAAATGCTTTTATGTTTATATTCTCTAGATGACTGTATTTGGTATACTCAAAGTGAATTTAGCCTAGTTTTTTTTTGCAAACAACGGTGACCAATTTAGGATTAGCTCCTCTAAGTAAAGCTGGGATTGGTATTTTGGTGGGTAGGGCTAATTGTTCAGCGATGATAAAAAGTCGTATTATATGAAGATCCCTTGAAAGATACTGAGTGGAAAACAGTAATACCATTCTCCGCTCCTAAACTTTGTGTTTATTGGCCGTTGAAGATACTGAAATGAAACCTGATTTTCCTCGATAAGTGTCATTGGTGGGAAGAAATCGTACAAGTGATTAGCTACTGAAGCGTAAAAACCGTTTTTTAAACGAACAGACGTTTTAAAAAAACAAAATTTATGCTCTAGTAACTTTCCTTTAACAGCGCCTTTATCTAAAATTTTTTGAGTAGTAATCTGCACAACAATCGCTAATTTTTTTTTTTTTTTTTTTGAAATGTAATTTTCTAATAATTCTAAAGATGTTTACATGAAAGAGTTCAGATACCTAGAATAAATAGACCTTTTAAACGGCTTTTAGTAGATATGCTATAACAAAGGA